GTAGTAGTAGTAGTAGTAGTAGTAGTAGTAGTAGTGGTAGTAGTAATAGTAGTAGTAGTAGTAGTAGTAGTAGTAGTAGTAGTAGTAGTAGTAGTAGTAGTAGTAGTAGTAGTAGTAGTAGTAGTAGTAGTAGTAGTAGTAGTAGTAGTAGTAGTAGTAGTAGTAGTAGTAGTAGTAGTAGTAGTAGTAGTAGTAGTAGTAGTAGTAGTAGTAGTAGTAGTAGTAGTAGTAGTAGTAGTAGTAGTAGTAGTAGTAGTAGTAGTAGTCGTAGTAGTAGTAGTCGTAGTAGTAGTAGTAGTAGTAGTAGTAGTAGTAGTAGTAGTAGTAGCAGTAGCCCCCCCCCAGGCTCTGGGGAGCCTGTGGGCGGGGGGGCTACTGCTGCCCTCAAACCGCGGGTGACAGTCACCCTTCCTTTTCTCGCGCCCTCACTGTTACGAACACTCTTCCTTGCCCTGAAGGGACGTCCTGGGATGGCGGCGGCCGCTGGCGGCGCTGCGGGCGCAGGTGCAGGGGCTCGAGTGGCTGGGAGTAACGCCGCTGCGGCTCGAGGCGAAGGCGGAGTACTGGCAGCTGCGGGAGGCAGTGGAGGTGCTGGGGCCGCCCCGTGCGCCTCCGCTGCCGCTCCCGCGTCGGCTGGCGTGAACGCAGCCGACATCCCCGTGGATGGCAACACCGACGTCCACATGCGTGACAGCGAGGGCCAGCCAGCACAGAGGCGGCGCCGCATGACGGGCGGACGCATCATCCGTTGGTGCGTCAGCGCCCAGGCGGCCCGTGGCAAGAAGGCTCACTGCGCGCGCTGCGTGGGAGGCTTTGAGGCTGGCGAGTGGCGCGTGGCAGGCGTCGTGACACCGCCCGCGGGGTCCCAGGCGCACGCGGGCAGGAAGTGGTTCCACATGGCCTGCGAGGACGGCCCACTACCACCAGCCACGGCGATGGTGGGATCTACTCAGCTCCCCGAGGGCGACAGGGATCGCCTTACGGCAGCCCTGGAGGCCCGAGGGGGCCCCATCCTGCCCCTGCTGGAGACAGTCGAAGGTCAGGCCCCCGCCCCTCCCGCCCAGGGAGATGGCGCGGCGGGGGGCACTGGGGCAGCCCCGGGCCCCCCTGCCGCCGCCGCGCCAGGAGCGTACGGCCCAGGCGCGCGGGGGACTCCTCTGGGGGCGGCCGAGGCAGCGGTGCCGACCACGGCGGACATCCTACAGCCGCCACTCGACGTCCCTGCGGAAGCAGGCGAGGATGGCGGACTCGAGACAGGCGTCTACGACGACTGCCTGGACGACCAGGTGACGAGTGAGGACGCGTACCACGAGGTGGGCTTCGTCAACCTGGATTGGTGGGGTGCCATCGGGTGGGGCCGCATCCTGCTCCAAGGGGCGCCCACCACAGCCATGATCCCCGACAGCATGGCGGCAGCCGTCAGCCGCGTGAAGGTGCGGTTGTGCTTGGCAATTGAGCAAGCCCGCCAGGGCAACGACGCTCAGTCGTCGAGTACATTGACGAGGCTATGGAAGGTGTTCCTCTCGCTGGACCGACTGCTGGTCAGCGAAAATGCGACCCCGACCCCGACGACGCGACGGGGGTGCCTCCAGGAGCGCCTGCGGTGGATCCAGGACGGCCAGTGGGACGTCGCCTGGCTTTCCATGGGGGGCCAGACGCGCGCCGCGGTCACCGCGAAGGGCCGCGAGGATCACGTCGCAGCCCGCGTGCGCCGTGTCACCGAGCTCGCACGAGCGGGAGAGATGTCTCGGGCGGCGGCGGCAGTGTGGCCCCAGGGGGACATGGTGGATGCAGCGGCGGTGGCGAGGAAGTTCAGCACCACCCAACAGCCCGAGGCGCCTCGCCCAGGCGAGTTGCGCCCTCTCCCTGGCACTGGGGCCGCCCCGCGTGGGCCAGGGAGAGGGGCCGCAGGGGCGGGGGCCGACGTGGCGATGCCGCCAGCCGCAGCTCCCCGCGAGCTCGACGGCGCAGCGGAACTCCACCGCCGTGTGGCCAACCACTTCAAACGTCAGTTCGGCCGTTTCCCCCGCCGTGGAGGGGCGGGGCCTGGAGGAGGGCGCGACGAGCACTGGGCCCCTCTCAAGCGCGACGAGGATGGCGCAGAGGCGGTGGCCAACACGCTGGCTCGACTGGCCATCGGGGACCTCCCCCCCGAGGCGCTAGCCGACATGACGGCGGCGCGCCTCACAGGCATCCCTAAGGCAACCCCTGGGGATCTGCGAGTCCTGGGCTGTGGAAATGTCACCCGCCGCATGGTGGGCCGCAGTGCCGCCAAAGTCCACCACAAGGACATGCGGACGGCGGTGGGAGACCAGCAGTTCGGCCTTGCCAAGGACGGATGTGGTGCACTCCACCGACGCCTATGCACGATGGCCAACTCGAGCCCAGGCAAGTGGGTGGTGGCGGTGGACCTCGGGGATGCGTTCAGCAACATCCCCCGCGACCTGGTGAAGGAGGCCGTGCGCAGCAAGGTGCCTGCGCTGGCCCCGTTGGCGGAAGCCTGGCTCCCCGCCCGAACGCGCCGCGCGGCGGGGGGCGGGTCGCGACCCGCCCAGCTGGTCGACCAGATCCTTGGCCTCGACCATTGCTGCCCGATGAGCCCAGGCTTCTACGCGGTTGGTACCGCGGATGCCCTCAGCATCGGCCGCATGGCTGTGCGCGCGGTGGACATGGAAGGGGACTGCTTGGCCTTCCTGGACGACGCGTACTTCGCGGGCACCGCGGCCGCCGTGTTCCGTGGCTTGGATGCGTGGCGCGCTCGCATCGAAGCCCACGGGATGAAGCTCAAGATGTCCAAGACCCAGATATGGTCCCCCGACGCCCAAGCTGTGCTGCCGCCCGAGTTTGCAGAGTGCGCCCAGTGCCGTGTCCAGATGCTCAAGGCGGTGGGGTCCACCCTGGCCTACACGAACCACGACGTGGACACCGACTGGAAGGGGCGTCCCACTCACGGACTTCGCCGTCCCAGAGGACCTCGATGAGGGAGGGCGCGGGCAGGCTTGCGGCGCCGGGGCCGCCCCGAGCGCCGCCACGCCACCCCCCTGCGGCGAAGCCTTCCTCCAGAAGCAGGACCGTTACTTCAAGGAGCTGCTGGCGCTTCGCGGACATGGGCTCTCTGCCTTCGACGCATTCCAGCTAATGCGGATCTGGTCGAGGGGCGCCTGCGTCCACATCCAGCGGGCGCTCCCACTCACGGCGACATGGAGCCGCAGGGTGGATGACGGAGTGGTCGCCTTCGTCAACGCCTTGCTCGGGGTCGCGGCGGCCCCCAGGGAGCAGATCTTCATGAAGGTCAGCGACGGGGGCCTGGGCTGTGGCAGCGCTGAGCAGCGCGGCCCAGCCGCCCTCCTGGCATCCTGGGAAGCTGGGATTCACGTGGCAGCCCAGGAGCTCCGAGAATCGACGACGATCGGCCTCTTTCGGAGGTGGCCAGGCCTTGGGCGTGCCCTCTCAGCAGCAGACGAGGAGCAGGGGCGGCTGGCTGGCGGCCGTCGCCCTCAGAGCGACCGCTGGCAGGGCCTTCTGGAGGGGCGGGGGGGAAAGGACCAGAAGACGTACACCCAGCACGTGCGGGACCACGCCACCAAGACGTTCACAGCCGCGCTGCCAGTAACGGCAGCGGCGGCGGTGCACAGTGCCTCGGGCAGCTCAGCGGGCGCCTGGTTGGATAATTTCGAGGGGGTCTCGCCCCTCGCCGACCACGCGTTCTGCATTGCTGCCAAGAGGCGCATGCACCTGCCGCTGCTGCAGTCCGAGTGCACGTGCCAGAACCGACCAGCAGCGCCCACCCGCGCGATGGCGCAGCACGGCCCGACGTGCGGCCGCGCGGTGGACGTTTGGGGCGTTCATGCGCTCAACTGCCCCAGGGGAGGCGGCCCGACGCGACGCCGCAATGCCATTCGAGACGCCGTGGCGCACTGGCTGCGCGAGGTGGGCCATCATGCCCTGCTGGAGCAGGTCATCCCAGAGTGGTGCACGGAGGAGCAAGGGGCGGCCACATTGGACGTGGTCTACCATCGAGGCATCCATGGTCGAGTTTGCCTCGACATCAGCTTGGTGGACGAGGTGGCAGTGGCCCAGACGGGGCGGCCGCGCCAGGCAGCCCTGCAGCGCAGAGAGATAGTGAAGCACCGTAGGTACCCGGGCCTGGTGCCCTTTGTCCTAGATGTCAACGGCCGCTGGGGCGCAGAGGCGGAGACGTGGCTGCGCCGTGCCGTAGGGGAATTGGCTGAGGCCGAACGGCCCGCGGCTCGTGCAGCCCTGCGGTCGGCAGTAGCCAACGCCCTGCAGGGGCAAATTGCGGAGCAGGTCGCCCTGGCGACGGAGGACGCAGCGAGACTGGATGCAGGGGCCGCCCCGAGCGTCCAGTCTTGACTAGCTGTGGCCCCGCCCCACTTGCATGCGAGCGCTGACCCACCTCTCCCCTTCCTCTTGCCCGCAGCCCTGAGTGGTCATAAAAAATTTGCCACCTCTGCAGTGTGCAAGGTTTCGCTCAGTCTCCAGGTCGCGCACACAGCGCGCTTCTGTAGTGTCATGTTTGGTCTGCACGCCATGGTGTGTGGCCTCCTTGCTTTGCGCATGTTGTGGTCTCGACATGCCTCATCTTTGATGCTCGTCATCTCTGACATGAGGTGGTCTCGCTGCCCATCGGGGATGAGCCTTCATG